TTTGCTGCTTAGTGTTAACGAACCCTTTCAGCAATGAAAGGGCACAGAAGCAGAATCGTGCCCTGGCAGCAGTGTGGATCAGCGGGCTGGGATCTGCTCGTGGAGCTGGAAGGCTGTGGGTTGAAATCCCAGGCAAGACACTGCTGCTGAGTGAGGTACAGTACTTCACCCCTTGAACCAGTAAAATACCCAGTCTGGATAAATGGGTGCCAATGATAGTAGCTTTGAATAAAGTAATCTGCAAAATATTATGATATTAAATATAAAAAGTTATGGTGCAATTCAGCTGCTATGAGTGTTATAACTAAAGAACCTGAGTGACCCTATGTAGTGGATATTAATTTCAGCAACTCCAGACATTAGTGGTTTAAAACTGGGCAGTATCATTATCTCACTCTGACCGAGATTCTCCAGGAGGTGACCTTGTGCTGCCTGTGGAAGGTGGTGCTCACTGCCTGTGGAAGGTGCTTCCTCTTTGCCCCTAGGTGAGTCTGAGGAGCAACTCTGGCCCATGAGCACGCCGAAGCAGTGTGTGCCCTGGGTGTCAACTGTCAGCCATGATGAATAGCACAGCTGGGGTTCAATATCGGATGGTATAGAAATCATCATCATCATCATCATCATCATCATCATCTTCAGCATCATCTTAGCCGGCGCACTTATCCAAAGCGACTTAGAGCTTTTGCAGATCACTGCTCTGAATTATTTTCATCAAAATTTAAAGAAAAAGACAAGTTGCTGGGTTTTTACCTGCTCATTAGTACAATTCCCTAATTGCTGCAAGAATCTGTTTTTAAATTAACTTCATTTGCAACTTTGTAATTTGTAACTTTGTTTTGGTTGAACCCATGGCAATCGCCACATGATTGTTTTGGTTTCTGGAATAGGTGCTATACAGGGAGGAAAACAGATTAAGCCACTTTCCAAAGCTGCTTGGGCTACTTTCACTCTTTGGGAATATCAAAAGTCAAAAAAGAAAACCCACAATGTCTTATTAGTGCTTGATTCCAGTTATAAAGGTAGTCAGACTGTTAAGAAATAAGCGACAATAGCAAAATCTCAGACATTTACAGCAAAAGCACATTTAAGAGATGTCATCTGTCTCAAAGGGACCAATAACACCTGGTTAGGAAGGCTTATTTGAAAGTGTTCATCTAAGTCTATCAATAGCGAGTCAATGATTAATATTAGATTTAGCAATGCACTGCAGGGAAAGCTTCAGAAGTAATCCAATACATGAGTAATTTCTTGATTATCAAAAGTAATTTCCCCCAGTATTTACAGAAATAACAAATCCCCTTTTGCATTTTCTGATTACAATAAAAGATCTTGGGCATAATTATAAAATTGGCAGGTTTGTAATTATGAGGGTTTCAATGGTCTTGAGTGACATCATGCGAAAGATCATGAAACATCATGAAACATGATGTGCATTATTTTTTTCAGCAGGATCTGTGCATATTACAGGAACTAACACTGCCTTATGTCTGCATTTAATAATTTTGTACACTTGATAGATTGTATAGTGATTTTATTAATTTCTCGGTTTCTTCTAGGAAAATACATAGATCAACTCAAAGCACTTTTGGAGTCACTCCAGTAATTTAATGAACAATGTAATCTTTAGACTCTCAAAACTAATGCATCAGCATATTTTGTTGAATTAGAAAGGTAACGTGTTTAAATAAAAAAATAATGCTATGGGCTACATTAAATAAGTGTATATGTTCCATGTTTTTAGTTCTTCATTAACCATTAGACCAAGGGCTATGTACAGTGCCTTAAATAAGCATTCAGACGTCTTGCTAAGGCGTACCGTATTGTGAAATTACAAAATGATTTTTAAAATGTATTCAGAGGTTGAATGCTCAAACTACTTCTAAGGGTAACATAAGTCACAGTAAATGTCAGCAAAATCTAAAGAAACTCAACTCAATATTTGATGGAAGCTCCTCTGGTGGTAATTACAGCTACAGTTCTTTTTGGATCTCTACCAATTCTGCACATTCTTCATTTACGATCTGCTCTCGCTCCCTCGGGTTAATCGCTTATGGACAGTGGTTTTCAAGTCTTCCTACAGATTCCCAATAGGATTCACATCAGGACTTTGACATTCACTTTCATACTCTTCAGCCACTCCAGTGTAGCAGTGGCCTTGTGCTTTGGATAATTGTCCTGCTTAAAGGTATGCTTCAGTTTTTGGTCTGAAGCAGGTTTTCCTCGAAGATCTACCAGTAACGTTCTAGAGTATGTTCTCGTCAGTCTTGGCAGGCCTCTGAGTCCCTGCTGATGAGCAGCAGAACTGTAACAGACTGCTGCCAACACCATGGTAGACAATAGGGTTGGTGTTGACTGAGTGATGTTGGGTTTGCATCAGATGTAAAACTTTGCATTTAGAAGAAGTTCCAGTTTTGTCCCGTCTGACCACGAAACTTTGTGCCACATGTTTTCTGATTTACTTTGTGCTTCGTTGCAGACAAAACAACAGGAACTGGAGATGGCTTGTTTTCAATTCCACACCCCCTTTTTGGAATGACTGGGATATCATTGACTTGTGGGCACTTTCTCCCCTCTCAGCCTCTCCACCCTGCAACTCTTTCAAAGTTGCCACTGGCCTCACAGTTGTATCCTCACCAGCTTCCTCCCTGGCCTGGCTGCACAGTCTGGGGGGAAATAGTGATCCAGGCAGTCTGGGTGCCTTATACTTCTTCATGATCAACCTCACCAGGCACAAAGAGAAATTAAGGGTCTATGAAGTGGTTTTGTATACCCTTCTCCTGATCTCTGCCTTTTTGCAGCTTTGTCCCCCCCACATGTTTTGAAAACACCGTCATCTCTGTGTTTGAATCTTTGCTTGACATTCACTACCTGACTGACAGACCTTTGAAATCATAAGAATCACAGTTATGGCACACAGACAGCGGCCATGCAACTAATTACAGTACATAAGGTTGTTAAGGTAATTTTGTGTACCTTAACTAATTTAAATTTGCCACAGCAGGGGGCTTGAATACCACCATGACTTTTCCATCTTTCATATCAATGTACTATTTACTTCTTGTTTCCTTTTTGCTTTAAATACGTGGAATAGATTGTGTATATAACAGATATTAATTTCTCCAAAGAGTCATGACCAACAGCTTTAAAGCAACAAAATGTGTCAGGAACTGCATATACTGTATGAAGACTGTACAGATCCTAGCACTTGATTTTGAAATATTCACAGGCACAAGTGCAACGTATTTCCAACTAAGAAGTTAAACCCACAGAGAAAGAATCTCATGCTTCCATTGAGCCCTAATTATTAGAATTATTACAGCAGAGTTACACTGGCGGAACTTATTTTCTAGCGCAAATGTATTTTGGTGAAAAAGCAATCATCATACTATATACTGAGATTTAATTCCAAGAAAATAATCTTGGGGGAAGTGGTGTCCCCCTGGCAGATTACTATCTTGTAAAACCAGTTCCCTAGCCTAAGCAGTAGCGGAGTTGAGGGATCAGGAAATTGCTCTGCCTTCCACACCTCCTGCCATCTGATTGCGAATGGATCACTTGGAAGACAAGAGACTGTCTTCACATTTTTGAAGCCTGCAGGGAAGGCAGATGTGAAATCACCAGTACCAGACCTTGTCTTTGTAAAAGCATGGAGTACAAATGCAAAAAGAAACCCTGAATCCACCGCTATCACTCAGAAAATACGACAGCGTACCAACACCCGCATCGTGTATAAGAAAGTACTTTGGAGTTGAGGTCCTTTCATGGTCTCAGAAGAATCTCGGCGCAGACTTTGGTTTGCTTTGAATGGCGTGTACTACAGGAAATGATGTCACTACGAAATGGAAGGAAAACACATGCCAAGCTCCCCGGCAGAATGAGCAGTGGAAGTGCCATTTGCACGATTCGTGACCTTTGACAGGTCACACCAGATTGGCCCTGCATTGCGTCAGCGTTTGGCCTCGGTGTAAAGGCAGACACACGTTCTGATCTGTGGCTGCCAAAGACTCCTCCTCGAGAAGCCCGAGTTGAGGGGCCCAGGGAGAGCAGATCGTCTTGCAGCCTCAGATGCTGTCAGGGCTCTCAGATCTCCCCCAGTCCCCGTGCTTTCGGGAGCGTCAGTCTCCACCCTCATTACTGATGGCACACTGCCAGAGCCCTGAGACCTGGGGTGTCAAGGCCCCAAGGTTCACTGTGAGCAAAACATTACACAACTCTGGGAATCTGTTACAGCGAAGGAACTTTCCATGCAGGACCACGAAAGCAGTGAAAACCTTTATGAATCTTCTGCCCTTTTGCAAACTCGAACACCGCAGTCAACATACACACGTGATTTTAATTAACCTCAAATCTGTGTCTCCATGTGACAAGTCGTGATAAAAAGACCATATCAATGGGGAGAGATCTGGATTGTGCTGTGTGAACATTTGATCTGATATAGATATAGTATTTGATATAGAACTATTATATTGCCTGGTTTGGGATGGTGGACTGTAGCCGAGTTGGCAGTTCACATTGTAGATGGAACATCTTGTACAAGTATTCACGGTACCTCTCAGCGATTTTAAATGAACAAGCTGTGTTCTTCATTCAATGGAAACATCATCAAAATTAAAAGACTTCAACTGTAAAAGCCCTTTTCTTATATTTCAGTGATCAGTCAAGTTTTCTATTGATAAGAAATAAAAAATATATAAAAATAAATACTCACCTTTCAGACTTGTAACATTAACAAATCACACTTTTTTTAAAGCTGATTTTAATTTCAGTCTTTTTCTAACAGGAAAGGGGCATGCATGGCAATAACATCTGCAACTCGCTTGGTTTCTCAACTGCCTTGCACAGCTTCAGGGAAATAATTCATGTCAAGTACCAGTCATGTATGCAGCCCTGTGCTAATTGTCTAGACCGCCTGCTATTGCCAGACTCGAATTTGGGAAATTCAAGCCCCTTTCGCAACAAGGAATAGAAAAATGAAAAGACAACCTGAAATCTTTCCTGACCTGAAAGCCTTTTCTCTCGCGCACTCTTCCAGAATATATCCCAAGCCTTATTGGTGGAATCTTTGATGTGTTCGCTGAAGGATCTTCTCAGAGGTGACTTCCCCAGCTGTGCCATTCCCTCAGCACCTGGTGATCACCAAAATCCCCCAACCAGATCACTTTAATCCATTAAAATCCGATGAGGAGAAGTCCATCAGAGCAAACCTGGAGAAGTTCCTTCTCCGACTGACACTTGATGCGAAAAGTCTGCATGTAATTTGCTAACACCCTTCTCTGAGTAGGAACAAAAAAAAAAAAACAGAAACAAAGTTTTTTTTTTTTTCAAGAAAGCTGGGGTCAGGCCAGCCTGGAAAGGAAATCACATCCCACTTCGGTCCCTCCTGCCTTGTAGCAAAAAGCAGCCTCGCATCTCAGCTGCCACAATTTATAAACACAGCCATTCCTCTCAGGGATGGAGTAATAAATAAGAGGCTAGAGAAAGGGTTTGTCATGGGTGCACGTAGAAAGCTAAACCTGTTCCCGTTTTTCGCTTTTAATGGCCATGCTGCACACTTCTCCAATTACTGCCTCCTTCCCCCTTTTTTTTAAAGACAGTTCTCTAAGCAGAACCAGTAAATCTTACTTCATAAATAAAGCTCCGGGCACACAACATTCTGGCAATGCAGGGTACTGCAACATTGAGGCAATGCAGGGCAGGCCTGAAGGAAACTGGAGCTGGAACATCAGGAGTGACGCCGCGAAGCTGTAAAGAAAACGGATCTTCAGTCCGGTAGCCCCTTTCCAACCACCTGCTGGGCTTGAGTGTGTTGTCAAAACTACAGTTGGAAACGAGGACTAACAGATTCAATTACCCAGGCACAGCAAGACTGGTGATGAAGGCCAGGATTTCTTGATGAAAAGGAGCTCTATTATCTTGGTGGGTAATGGCCAACATCGATTTTTGTACAGTTTATTTGGAATCTCATTATTGCGATTACAACTCAGCTGCCATTACATTGATCCTCGGGATTCAGCTCTTGTCACACGTCTGCCGGTGAAACAGCCGTCATGTGAGATCTGCTCTGTAGAACTGTCTCGCAATGCTGATCAAAGGGCACACGGACACATGTTTTACATGTCCTGCTCCTTTCTTCATGGAGACGTCATTTTGACTCCCACTGTATTATCACTTCCTATTCTCTGCTCAACACAGCGTGGAGACAGATCCACAACTAACATGCACTTTTAGATTTAAAAGAAGAAGGTATCTGGTTTGTTAAAATAAAGTTATTTACATTACAGTGACATCCCTTCATCATTTGTTTGTCATGTTACTATCTGTGCAGGGACATTTTGTCACAATTTCTTTTCACATTGATAGACAAACATGCTCACAGAGCACACAAAGCTGTCCTGCAGGAAAATAGCTGCAAAATCCTTCAAGGCAATTTTTGTGAACGCTTCAGCTCTAGATGTATTAGTGTTTTATTTTGTAAAGCCATGGTGTGAAAAGACTGAAGGCAGATGCCTTGAGGTTAACTTTGAGGTGGAGAAAGAGAGAAAGGAAAGGATTAGGCTAACGAGGGACTGTGGAGTTACTGTCAGCACTGTTACACAGCCTATTGTTAAAAATGTCTTCCCTAACCCTACTACTAAACCTAACACATGGGTTTCTTCTTATGTTAGGTTTAGCAGTAGGGTTATAAATTTGTAGTGAAATGATTTATATACTTAGATGTGAGCGCATACAGAGTAGCAGTTCCCCAGTTTGACAAGAAATCTCAGGTTTTGGCCTTTTTTGCACACGTTTAGTTGTATACAAAGTACCACATGTTCACAACTTGACCACTTGGGTGCTAACTCTAATTTCATGTGAAGGGCACATAACTCCTGTGCTAGCATCCCTGCACTGGCTACCTACAGTGTTTAAGAATTCCCTACATTTTTTTATGGGAGAACAAATTCCCAATACAATACAATCATTTAATTACAAACCCATTTTGTCCCCTATTTTTCTCTTGCTGCATTCCTGATGCACTCACTGGCTGAGGTCCCATCACCCCTCCTTTCTTCAAATCATAGATCTCCAAACTGCTCAGGTGGCAGGATCTGTGGTGGCTAGAGCCTGCAAGGTCTTGACACCTCCGACAGTCGCTATCTCTGAACTGGCCTCATCACTCTGTTCTCCTCCCCACTGAGAGCTGGTGTGTGGGGAGAGTATTGGCGCACTCTGGCTGCCATCGCATCAACCAGGTAGGGGCTGCACACTGCTGGTGGTGGAGAGGAGTCTCCATGACTGTAAAGTACTATATAAGTGTAACAGAATAATTATAATTAGGAGCTTTAATGGACAGTTATACAGAAGACAACGGGTCTCAATGAGTAGAAAGAGAATCACAGTGCCAAACTTGTGAAGGCTGAGAAAGTTATATCTCACAACCCAATTTCTTTGCAGTCGGTCTTTCACTGCAGTAGGCCTACAACAGAGTACAATATTTGCACATCAATAATAGCTTCTGTAAAAAATCCATTGCCCAGCAGGCATCTGCAAAGAGCCACAGCCTGTATTAAAAAATGACCTTATCAATCCTTTTTCCCCAAGCGAATATCTTTGAAGTATAGGTCATAGCATTTGAAAGAAATGAAAGTAGTGCTTGTAGTGTGTGTGAGGGACAGTGCCCAAAATCCACACGCTCCAATGTATCTGTTAAAGGACAAAAAAATGTATGAGACTCATTCTTGCAAATATCCCAACTGTATCAATCTACTTCTGTACAATTAATAAAGTCAGAAAGATACACTGATTGCTGAGAATGTGTATCTGGCAAGATCAGCTGCATATCTCCAGCTAATTTCCCTTGGACGAGGCAGAAATATGAAACCCTTTGAATGACCATCACTCCAGCAGAAGGAGTATTGTTTACACTGGGAATAAAACTTTCAGAGTTGCCAAGAGTTTTGTTTAATACCCCTCCCAAGGCAGATACAATATCTAATGTATATAGGGGCGAAGCGGTGGCTCTGTGGCTAAGGATCTGTGCCTGTGGCTGGAAAAGACAAATCCTAATACAAGAAATTGCATAGTGCCAATAAAGTGATCTTTTCTGATCTTATATACACTGCACACACAGAGGCCATGCCTGTTGAGGGCCACGAGGCCATGGCTGTGGCCCTGATGAGGAAGATTTGATACTGAAGAGAAACAGTGGGGGGTGGAAGGTCAAACAGTACAGGCCGTGATACTGCTGCATTAGTGTCTGGTTCAAAGCAGCACACTTCAAGGGGCGCAAGAACCCAAACCAAAAAATGCTGCTTCCCCTTTTCTTGCTTCGCAGTTTCAGAAATGAACTGTTTGAACGCACAGCAAGCTCGCAAATGAGAACAGTATCGGCATCTGTTTCACATTACGGATTTTACAAGAGCCTCACTATTGACTCAGGCAGTAGGGAAAGATAAAAACAATAGCTGAGCCATAAATTTCCTCTAAGAATCAGGCCTCTGAAGTATAATTATTGTACCCTTCCGATACTGGGGCTATCGAATTCACATACTGAAAAGATGGACATACATACAAAACATAAAACTCAAAAGCGCAGGCATCTAGAATTGTCCCAAAGAAAACAGAGTCTATAAAGCTCCACAATCAGAGCAAAGTGCACAGTCTTCCCCTGAGATTCATAGATGCAACACAGGATTGGGCTAATGGACAGATTAGTCCAAGCAAGCATATACCTGTATATTGAAATGTGGTTCACACCTTCCCCCTTCTCTCAATGACAGACTTGTGTTCGTGTGATCTTCTCTACTCTCATGTAGGTTTAGACTTCACACCCTTCTCCACTTGGCACCACCTGAGTGGCCTCTCTGCCTCTCCCCTGCTCCGGCCTCCTCCACTCTCCCGGCTTTTGTTCTCCTGTGCTATTCAATCTTTGCTGTCTCCCCAGTCTTTCTCACACACGAAGACGGCTCCACATTCGAAATGTTGTGTTTTCTCTCTTTTATTTTCAGCATGGAATAAACCAATTACTTGTTCCTTTGCAGCCTACACATGCTGACACAACTCCCCACCTGAACTACATATACCTGTATAGTCAAGTTTAAATCGGCCACAAAGCATGGCGATTGTTTACCCCTGGAAAAAAAAGAATAAAACAAACGGATGCACATGCATTCTGGGGAGCAAGGTAGTGCTGTCTCTGTCTGTTCTCAGCCACACCATGCTCTCTGGTTAAACTGGTGTCTCTAAGTCATCCTCTACACGAGTGTGTGCTTGTGTGCAGTGTGATGGCTGGCATCCTGTCCAGGGTGTAGTGCTGGCCAGTACCCTGTGCTGGACAGATTAAGGCCTGGCTCATCCTTCGAAGGAAAAAAACAGTTTCTGAAAATGCCTGGGTTGGTAATTGGATTCCCAGTTCAAAAGGTACATCAAAAACATATTTTCCTTATTTTTGCAGTTATTTAATTTCCTGCGCATCACATTCCACAAGAAGCATCAGACATATTTTTCGGGCTTAGGAACCATTTGGCCTTGTGCATCAGTCAGCTCAGCTGCTGTACTGCCAAATTCTACACTACATTTTGTTTTTCTGTACAGAGGGCAGAGGATTATGCATCTGGTGTTCATCAGAATGTATTAATCTGCGACATGAATTTGCCGATTTACTATAAGTCTTTCCAGTGAACTTCTTCACAGTGAGACATGAACCAGAGAACAAAACTAGAAACTATACGGAGGTGCATTTAGAACGGAGAACAGGGGCCAGTTCTTTGCCTAAAGGGCTGTGGAAGTGTGGACAAGCTACACAGCCTTATTGTTGAAGCTGATACCCTGGCTTCTTTCAAGACACAGCTGGATGAGAGCCTGGGATCAATAAGCTACTTAACTACCAAGCAGGCTAGGAGGGCTGAGTGGCCTCCTCTCACTTTTGAGCTCTCCTTGCTTATTTTCACACTTGCTTAAATCCCAGTTTCTGCATTATCAAATGCCAAACCCCCAGGTCCAGCTCCATCGCAGACCTCCACCACAATACCTTCAGTCGGTGGCCGTTCTTGCCTCAGATCTTCAGAGTGGGGGTTTATACACTGACAGTCCCAGACACAGAACTGACCCTTGCCTACTTTCTTCACTTGAGCTGGACTCACTAAGACCATTACGTGCCTGAGCTCTCTCTCCGTTTTGATAATACACACAGATTGGTGCACGAGTTCTGGCAGTCTGTGTTCCTTCTTTTACCGGGAAAGCTCTTCAGCTGGGGAGAGTTTAGCTTGCACAATAAATGTTAGTTTCTCAAACAGTCTAATATTCTCACATTCTAAGCCAGTGGTTTAAATAGGTAGGCCAGCACCTTTTTACTATTTTTAGCAACACACACACACTCCCAGGTGTTGAGCTTTCCTAATTATGGAGGATGAATGTGTGTTGTTATATTTCTGAAATAACTACCTTGTCATGGACTGTAATGCATTTAAAAAGTCACCTGTTCAGAAATCAGAAGAGATTGCGAGTCTAGGGACTAATGCAGAGATGAATGGATGTCACTGTTCTTTCCCCAAACTCCTCTGTACCCGGTGTTCTGAAAACGTTTGAATGGTAACTGCATTTCTCGAAGTGAACAAACTATGCATCATTCCCAGGATTTATAGAGTGGTGAATGAAAGAGACCTAAGAACCCTGCAGCAATCCAGCCTTTGAGGATCAGTGCGATTGCCATTGCAGTGCCCCACCAGTCTCCTGTGTAAGCTCACATGAGTGGGACTCGATTTTCCAAAGAGTGTTTCTTTAACAGCACCGTGTATGGCATGTCCTTCAAAAGTAATAGTTTCTATGACCTTTTTAGATCAACTGAGAATTGAAAACTAAATACTGTAACTGTGTGTACTTCAAATACAGCTCCCTCGAGGCTGGCCAATTGAACTCTCTCAGCCCGTTAAAGGGACTGGGAGAGGAGCAGACATCTGAAGCACGAGGGAACTGATCTCTCATAGTCTGCACCGCAAGTGTCAGAAGACTGTTTGGAGAGCTCTGGGAGGGTTTTGCTCATGTATGGATCTGACACCTCTCTGCTCCTCCACAGCTCCTGCTCTCATGACCAATGTGACCCCAAACTGAGGACTTTAATCTGGGAGTTCTTTTCTAACATTTTTTTCCCCTCTTATCAAGATTCGTCCCTGTATTTTCTCACTAAAGTAGAATAAAACAGAGTGCAAACAGGGGAAGGTATATTCAATTAGTGG